CATTTGCATCGGCCACGGGGTGCAACAAGGCGGCACTTATGCCCCCTCACCAGCCACACACCTGCCCAAGACCCCCCTTACTGCGATTCCATTTCGGCATTACCATACGCCGAAAGTGATTCGTTCATGCTCTAACGCGTCGTATAATTTATGCTAGCGTCTATATATGGGAGCAAGAACGTCCACTAGAAAGGCCGGCGCTGCTGTCGATGTGACGTAGTAAACGACATCACGTGGCTTGCCTATGCCGTCAGTGCGGCGCGCTTGCTTTCAACCACAGAAATAGAGAGAGAAATAAAGAGGAAAGGCAGGGAGGTTGACCAAGCTTTTCAACCTAGAGTTTCCTAAAATTAAGTAGGGGGAGTCTGGCGCCGCGATCGTTCAGTGACAATGGGATTTATGGGCAGCACACGGATTTGCCTATAGTCTTCGTACTTGGCGGCAAATTGCACTCGTGGCTTCGTTTATTGCTGGTTTCGTTTTCGTTTTTTTATTTTTTTTTCGAAGAAAAGAATAAAAAAAACTTTTGAACTTCGTGATCCGATTCTAAATGGTAAGCCTAAAAGATTAAGGTGGTGAAGCGCAACTGCTGAACATTGGCCGATTGTTGTTTCGTGACAAAACAGCTTCAAGCCACGCGAAGCCAAAAAGAACGTAAAGTACGGAGACTAGGTAAATCCATGTACTATCCATAATTCGTTTACCATAGACACTAGCGTCAGAGTTCCCTCTAACACGTATATTTAGGAAACTCTATGCTTTCAAACGCGAAGCAGTTCATTTTATAGCTTAAAAGTTTGTGCGGCGCTGCGATGCCGCAGTGTTGGACGCATTCGTGCGCGCCTTAATGTGAATGAGCCCTTACAAACGTCGTGGCACCGATACACCTGACTGATAAAAGTTCATCCTCGGCTGTGCAGCCCACTCAGCAGTCAATGTTTTTTTTTTTTTTGAACGTCTATGCATACGCAAACATTTTGGTTTCGGAACTGGAGTTAAAAGTGTTCGGTAAGTATTACGGCGTTCTTCGCGGATCTGTACCAGTGTCGCGCAATGGGCACCTCTATTATATTCCGAGATATTAGGATTTGTCTCAATTTCATTCCTTTTAATTCCTCAGAATTAAAAAGAAGCTGGCACATTCCAACTCCGGGAACGGCGAGACCATTCAATTCAATTTCTTTAATTACTCAATGCAGGAAATGCATATTTATACATTTATTGAGTTAAGAATGTACGGCACCATAAGTGTAATGGCATGAGGTGCATTAAGAACTGCACAAGTATACATAAAACACGTTGCCAAGGTCGAGGGTTAGTAGTTTGGTGGCAAATCTTGTGTAGTAAAACCACTCTAATAATTTCCATAGGATCGATTCGTTTGCCAGCTACATGTAGTATTTGAATGGTCAGCATGCTTGACGGAATGGTGAAAATTGTTTAGGCTGAAATATGTTAATGCTAAACTGATAGCAGCGTATTTTGATGTTGACAAAAGTAATGTTCAACAAGACTAAGCAGTTTTGCCCGCGTCTCGAGCGGTCGTTAATATAAAAAAAAGATAAAGTTCGGTTAATGGGGAACAAAATGCTCTAGATCTGCTGGTATTAGATGGAACAGTGCGCCTTCGCTCGGGCACACTGTGCCTTTGCATCCAATACGGAACACCTGCAGGGCCGCACTGATGGTCAGCGCTCACGCCTGTCAAGTGTGCCTAGCAAGCATGGACGGGGTGAGAACTTTCTGCGCACGCTTGCCTGTGCGCAGGTATGCAATGTCATCCTTGTGGCAAAGGTTATTTACGCTTGTCAAGTTTTAAACTTCCTGTGAGACAAAGATCAGGCCGTGCATAGAGTATTCGCATCTTTCACGCGGGGTATCAATGAGAACTAACGTGCGAGGATAACTTGTTTCTCTCTTCAGTATCTGTTGGGAAGTTTGTACGCTAACTTATGCCGTGGTTTGTTTTTTTTACAAATTAGAAGATTGCTCACAATCGTACATTATGCCTATCCTTGGCTTTGGCTAACTAAAAGTGTGCAAGTGGACCTAGAGAAAGCGTTGTGGCCTTCAAATTTGATAGAGCATGTATACTGCGACCTACATGAATAATTTCAGCATGATTTTACAGTAGTACCTATTAAAGGTGTAGAAAAATACTCCCCAATGTACCCTTTGCTTGGCGATGCGAACACGGACATGTTCTGTCGCGGGATCAAATCCCGGCTGTGGCGGCTGCATTTCCGATGGAGGCGGAAATGGTGTAGGCCCGTGTACTCAGATTTGGGTGCACGTTAAAGAACCCCAGGTGGTCGAAATTTCCGGAGCCCTCCACGACGGCGTCTCTCATAATTTTGATTGATGTGTGGGGTTTAACGTCCCATTACCACCATATGATTATGAGAGACGCCGTAGTGGAGGGCTCCGGAAATTTCAACCACCTGGGGTTCTTTAACGTGCACCCAAATCTGAGCACATGTACGGGCCTACAACATTTCCGCCTCCATCGGAAGTGCAGCCGCCGCAGCCGGGATTTGAACCCGCGACCTGCGGGTCAGCAGCCGAGTACCTTAGCCACTAGACCACCACGGCGGGGCTCTATGTGCTGCAAACGCCGGCGTTGCCCCCCACCACGTAATAGTGCCCCTGTCGCACTGAAGGTGTTCAATTCGATCCGTGGTGGTGCCACACACACACAAAAAAAGTGATGCCATTCGTTCATGAAGTCGATAATGCAGATTTTTACAAATGCCAGAAAAATTGAGCGTCCGCTTGTTTACATAATTACATCATGGCTGAAAGCGCCGCCGCGCAGACGATGTGCAGAGCAAAGACATCTTACGGCAGCTTTGTATATTCCTGTCATCGTTAAAAAAATAGACACTTAAAAAAAAAACAGCATTAATAGCGTGTTTCCATGAATGCGGGTCAATTCGAGAATGCCGAATGGCCCCTTTTAAGTAGTCTCTGGGGTAGAGAGTATGCATTCGGTTCCACTGCGACGGCGTATGTTTCTTCCAATCGTTCGATTGCTTAATTCATTCGATCTAATGACATTATATATATTGCTGCGTAGCAGCCACTAAGTGTCATTTGGTGCCAATGTCATTCCATCAGAGTGATAGTAAAACTTCCAGTGTGACAGGGCCATTTATACAGCACATACTAAATGATCTTCCGATTTTGGGGCTGTGTCGTCCCGCCGATAGATATCCGGTTCCAACGCCGGACCAGCGAACACGCGTCGATCTTAAATAAATGGGGTTGAGAGGTGGTTCCGAAATTTCTTGGTCAATAGATTTCAATAAAATTCGCTGAGTGCGTTCCTTCGCACGTTTTCATCATCTCTCCCCAATTACAGGCTGGAGAGGTATACGAATATTCGTTACAATCTCACAATAATGTGACTTTTATACACATTAGAGCTGTGCGTGGGCCGCATTTATGAGCCCGGCCCGAGGTACGTACAAAAACAAAAGCGCGTTCCGATATCAGGAAGGTATGCGGCCAAAACAAGATACAATTTTCTGATAATACATGAAAGGGAAACATGGGCGAACTACACGTGACAACCACTAAATGCACAGATAACAGGTTGTCTAAAGATATGATTCGGGCTTCGGTGAAGTGCGTGAGGGGCTCGCCTTCCAGGGTTTGCGACGAGGCACGGTGGGTCTCTCACGCACGGCAAGCAAGATGTCGCCCATCTCGGGTTTTCTCACCCCTGAGGAAGAAGCCGTACCGGTTTCACGACGTCTGGTTTTCCCAATATACTTTTGGTTGGAGTTCTCTCATTCCTTCAATTGGAGTTCTGTTTCACGGTCATGTGTCAACACATAGGTACCGCAAGCGGTGTTTCATGACAAAGCTCCTTTACACCAGTTATCCTTTTGTAAATCATGGACACATATCAGAAAAAAAAAAAATGGTTGAGCAATATACCGTTCGATGCGGTAGTGCACTGTTTATGAGGACAAAGGGAACACGAAAGACAAGAACAGTGTTCGTGTTTTTCTTGTCCTGTTTGTCCCCACTGAAAGTGTGCTATTTTATCATACGGTATAATGATCAGTCACCAAATATCCCCGCTTTCAACTCTATTGGGTGGAACTCAGTCTTGCGTGTTTGAGACCACTAGGCTACACTGATCTATCCTCTAGGTGCTCTACGGGACGCCGTTAGCCACGCTGAAACCAATTAGCCGAAGAAAGCAAATGCGAACCAATCGGAACGGTTACAACAAGTAACGAAAATTCTTGTTCAAAAACTGGCTACTACTTTCTCTGATTCTACTTTCCCCAACCCTCGCACGCACGCTGACACAAATAAATAAAAGACAAAATCTCGTTTCTTTACAACTGCTATTCGAATGCCACATTTCTAATAAATCTTACGTATGGTTTTGATTAAGCGTTTGACATGGTTGTTTGCAAGAATGTTAAGGGGGAAATGCAGATTTTCGTCCGTGTGCCGCGCTCCTCGTCAAGGAGTGCAAAAAAGACCGAGACCTGCAACTGTGTATCGCGCGGCTGGCGCCTGAATGCCTCAAAAGTTATGTAGTACATCGTGTAAATAAGAGAGAGAACAGAATAAACATGGTCGAAAAATAACGAAAGAGAGCGCTAGTTGCTGTCCTGAAGAAGTTGGAGAGCGGCAAATCGCACTGTGTACAGACGCATAAACGAAACCGAAACTGGAATCTGAACAAACTCAGTTAGAGTGCTTCAATACTTTTATTTTCGAATTTATCATAAAACAAGGTAAACAACCAAATTAAAACCTTCATAAATTGAAAAAAAAGCACTGTGTATTGGCCCTCTGACGGACGCGCGTGCGTTGAGCACATGTTCAGTAAGCACTATGATCATCGTCATGCATATTATCTACATTTCCCGCCAAAGTGCACGGCGTCTGCTTTTTGCGCACGCCAGTTTCGCGTCGTGGTTTTCACACGTATAACACTACGGCGGTTCAATGACAGTGTGAAAATACTGTGTGGTATGGGCTGCCGCCCTTCGAAGATCGTGGACGAAACCGAGAGTGTATCAGCCGGTTCTGTGCAGACGGTGCTACGACCGCATTACCAACAACGAAAACATCAAGTCAGGTGGGCGAAAGAGGCGTCTTCGCACAGTGGGAGTAGCCGTGTCGACCCTCGCGTGTCTGCAAAATATGCCGTCAAGGCTGTACTAGCCAAAGGACGCTTCAGTAGAGTGTTGCGAGTGGAGAACAGGCTATCGAAACAGCCGTACGCAATTAAAGTAATCGAAGCGAGAGACGGCTCGCATGTTGAGACCGAACTGGCTGTATTAAGACGCGTGCGGCACCCAAACGTCGTTCGGCTCGACGAAGTGTTCTTCGTTGGGTGTCGTGTGTACATGGTTATGGAACTGGCAACCGGCGGCACCCTGCTCGATAAAGTGGAAATGTGCGCCCCGTTCGTCGAAGCGGAGGCGGCTCGCGTTATTGGTATGGTCGCCTGCGGACTGGCACACCTTCACGACTTGGGCATTGCGCATCGGAACCTGCAGCCTGCGAACGTGCTGTACGCTAACCCAGGAGCAGGAGCCAAAGTGATGATAGCCGACTTCGGCAAGGCTAGTGCGCCCCGGTCAGGAGGGGAGGCGTACATGCACACCGCCTGTGGAGGGGAGCTTCACTACATGGCTCCTGAGCTGGTCGGGCATCGGCCTTACACCCGCGCCGTGGACATGTGGGCGTTGGGGGTGATCGCCTGCCTCCTGCTCACTGGCATGCTGCCTTTCCATGCGGACAACGATGCTGACGTTATGAAGCTCATCCAGAGGGCAGAACTGCCTGCGTTAGAGCGGGTGAGCTTTCCTTGGTCGTATGCATGCAGACGCGTAGTGTGAAATGCATTCTTTTGATTTCGGATGTGCGTGCGCTTGTGAAGACGAATCCCACACTACGACCAATAGTGAGCAACGGGTCAACAAGGATTCACTATCGTCTAGGCTCAACATAGCTCAAAAATTTTCTAGCGCAGCAAAAGTGGTAGCTGAAGAGCTGTACCCGAACTGCTCCTTAAACGACGATAGTTATAGCGCGAGAACAAAACGACGACACAGAGACAAGAAGGCCACAAAAGGCACGACGTGTCCTTCTTGTCTCTGTGTCGTCGTTTTGTTCTCGCGCTATAACTATCGTCATGCCATACCAACTAGCCCAAGCTGCCACACTTCTATGCTCCTTAAAGTCAGTGTCTTTTTTTTTTTTTTTGCTCAGTGTATATATCTTTGGAGCGCTAGAAAATTCCTGAAACTAACTAAAAACGTTAAGGAATATTCACGCCGGCTGTTGCATAATAGACTACTCGAGAACGTAGCGCATGCACACATTTACAGCGATTTATGACAAACCAAGCTCCGTTACTTCTTTTTGAATTTATTATTATTATTATTATTATTATTATTATTATCGTTGTTGAGGACGCAGATATGATTCCCCGTTGCTGATGGCACATTCAAAAGAGTGAAAGAAAATTTCGTATCGCCATTAACGTTTTATCAATGCAGGTGCCATAGCCAGCGCCTGCGGGTTAAAAGATTATGACGCTATATGTCGCATAGCGAAACATTGCCACCAATTCTTTCTTTTTGTTGTCGATGTTTGACGCGATCAAATACGTACGCGTTGTTTCATCTCATGAACGCTCCAACAGTAAGTTGACCGAACAGTGCATGATTAAGCACCGCAAACGGTTTGAAAAACGTGTTTGCTGTCCAATTTGGTTCGCACTGTTTTATGTTGTCAATTTTTTATAGTTGTTCGGACGGAAGCCCGTTTGGTCGATGTTAATAAGCATAGAAAACGTCGGTCATGGCAAAAACATGAACAATTTCGCAGACGTTTTGCCTCCCGAAAGCTTCATTCGCAAAAAAAAAAAAAAAAAAACAAAAAAAAAAACTGCAGGCTTGCGTGGTGGTAGGCGCTGCACAGTCACAGCGAAAGCTAGAAGAGCGGCCTTTCAGAGCTTTTTCTTAGCACTCATTGGGTAACTGCTTCAAGCACACTTGCTTGATGCCCACTGCGGCATTAGTAATAAAATTTCAGGGTATAGTAGGACGGCATTCACTAAGCTATGCTTCGGCATTCGCCTGAGAAACGTGGTATCCGCTAAACTATTGCGAGGAATTTTGTGCCAATTGTTCATGCAGTGGCTGACGACGATCAGGAATTATGCCCGAAGTGCGCACGTATGCGCCATAGTTTACAGGGGAACAAGCACACGCTTTTGTAATAGGTTGGAACATCTGACCAACCACTCGTTACGCTTATATTCGCATTGTGCGACGACTGGTTCTTTTTTCGCTGTTTTAAAAACGCTTTATAAGTTGTATTAACGCGATTGCTTTGCCGACATCCCTGCCTAAGGCAAGTTTGCCAACAAGTCTCAACCAACGGCGTGGCTCAGTGGTAGAATACTGGGCTGGCACCCAGCGGACCCGGGCGCGAGCCTCTCTATGGCATTGGTACTAGTTCTTTTTTCTTCTAATTTCGCGTGATGTGTTGCGGACAACTGCGGCGCTGCGCGAGACCCGTGATGTGATCTCATAACAGCTTTCGCTGTAAAACAGCAAACTGCATACATAGTCGGCTTTTCTTAATCGTATGATCACGTGGTGCAGTATCGCACCGTGAGTTCAGGCACTCGAATCATCAGAGATTGCGAGTGAGATCACAGCAACAACTTCCTTTCAGTGACAATGACGCAGGCGCCATCCCAATATTTTCATGTCTAGCTGACATGCTCTGCAAGAGCATTAGGTTCAAATTTCTCGTTTTTTTTTATGTCACGAAACGTTCCCGGAGCACTTGTTATTTTTTATTGATTCCCCGTTTCACCATTCGCGCATATGATTCTGTAGAATCTGTACACTACTGTCTGTCCGACTTGTCTTTCGAATTTGTGAGACTGCTTCTTATCTTCAGTGTAGGGACGTGTGCCAGCATCTCTAAAATAGTTTTTTTTACGTTGGTGGGCGTCTTTTTCTATTACGCATGCTATGATCGCGGTTTTCGAGTCATAACAATATCAAAACTTGGAAGACGCTTGAGGTTTGCATTCTAGGGTAGAACGCGATAACGTTATCGGACCGTGTTGGTATCGCCTTCCCAACCGCTAGCCTGTGTTCGCTTCTCAGTCGATACCTAAACCACGCCGCAAGAAAGGCCGCATGCCGGCTCTATGCGGCGCGACGGACTCGTGAAAAGTCTGACGCGCCACCATGTTTGGTCCAGCGCGGCCGCAACTGTGGGGGCGCGGCTCTGATTTGACGTGGAATAGCACACATGTTTTTGTTTTTTTGAGCCCCGGAGGAAGCTTACAACTGTTCTCTAATCTAGTGGACAAGAAATAGTGTCAATTTTCGCTTCCTAGCAACTCAATCACGCGTGCTAACACAATGAAAGTGCTAATCGTGCAGCGCTTAAAACGAGCTCCGGAGTAGGTACTTTAGCCCCTGTAGCGCAACTGTTGATAATGAATTTAATGATGATCCTGACAAAGGTGAGAGTGCGATGAACGCAGTTGCGCACAGCGGACGCCGTGCTGTTCATATTTCTTTTGTTCCTGGCACATATGCTGCAATACGCAACGCGTAGGCGTATGGACCGATATACAAATACATGCAGCTACTTATAGGATTCACAGCGACCCGTCTGAGATTTGTTTCACGCCAATTTGGCCACAGCTTTCGACATATTAATGGTTTCGAAGCTGTGTTTTGTTTTTTTACGCAATGCAATGCTTCTCAAACGCACAAGTTTGAGGCAGACAACGTAAACAGCGTATACACCTCTCTTCATGCGAGAAATGAGGTCATCATTTATATATATATATATATATATATATATATATATATATATATATATATATATATATATATATATATATATATATATATATATATAAGGGAAATAGGTGTATAACTAAGGGCTCGTTTTTCCGTGTTTTGACACAATATTAATGAGATCTAACAGACAATAATGCCAAGGAATGTATAGGGGGAAGTTATTAAAACAAATGTATTGTAAATAAGAAGAAAGAAAAGTGGGTGAAAAAATAACCAGCCACAAGCAGGAATCGAACCTACGACCTTCGAATAACGCGTTCGAAACATGCAAAACTCGCATATATATATATATATATATATATATATATATATATATATATATATATATATATATATATATGATGTGCAGCGCACGTGCTCGAAAAATTCGAAGTTTTGGTGCATATAGTGCTTCAAAAGTATGAATACGAGAAACAACATGCATGTAAACAACAAAAAAAGCGATCGAAATCGCGTCTGATGGAAAGTGATTGCAGTGCAAATGTAACACTTTGTTTCCGTGGCGCGTTTATCATTACCTGTGAGCCTAAAGACATCAATTTTACGCCTAACTTAAAGAGAGCTGCCCGGCACTGTTATTAGAAAGTTATAGTTCACCGTTAGGGTGATAGTGGGAGTTAAGGAAATAGCGTTACCGTGCAGCAAACGTACGTTGCGGACAGCGCCTTATAGTTTAGCGGGATAGCGTTTACGTGGTTTACGTGCCCCAGCTGAGATGGTGGCACCACTTATCGGAAGGCTGATAAGTTGAATAACAATAACAATAAAAAAACGGCAATGTTTGCCTGCAGTGTGTCACTGCGCGAAGCATTGTCACAATTTTAAATTAGTTATAATGACAGTAAATAAGTATGAACCCCGCACAAAACGCGAAAACATTTATGTTGCCGATTTGTTTACATCGATGTTCTAGTTAGGCCTCGAGACGTTCGAAATGACAAGTTATCTAAAAAAATTACGCTAACCTATACGTAATACTTGGTCATCGAAGTGAATTGAAGGCAAGTGAAGCCATTGAAACAGTTGTTTACTGTGAACTGAGAAGAGAATATTTCAACAACTACGCCAAAATCCATTCGAAGCGGGCGTCCGGAAGCGCCGCCATGTTTACGTACACTACACACAAAACGCTAAAACGGTAACGTTAAATCCGAAAAGTAGCGTGCGTACGGTAAGCGGTTAGGGTCACGTACGTTACTGCGTATGCGCACTTCGATCCTGCTATCCCGGTAAGCCCGCTATCCCGCTAAGCCCGGTAAACTATAACTGTCTATTGTGCATGAAACTTCTATGGCAACCATGCGTATTAGGCTGCACTATAGTAAAAGGGTGACGTAAACATTCCCCGAAACAACATTTGCGAATATCCAATAAAAATTGTATCGCACCAAGGCGGGTGTCATAGGTGGTAGATTTCTCCTGCCGTATTCCGTGCGGCTCGGAATAGCAAAACGCGTTTTGACCGCTTCTCTTCGGTTCCACTGACAGCGCGTCCCCGCAATCAACAGGTTCCTCGTTGAGAATGTGTAGGCTGACAGGCAACAATGAAATGTAACAACACCACAGTAGTTTCAGAGAGAAAAAAAAAAAAGCTTTTCTGTGGTTGGAGCGCCTTCACTGAAATTAGGAGCGACAAGAGTTCGGAAATCCCATCCCAAGGTTTTTGTTATCTCTTGCGTACGTTTACCTTAAGCAAACGTACAGTCGAGTATCCCGGTGTGAGTGCAGAACGCAGCCTGGCAGATAAAACAAAATCCATAATGAGACGGGGTCGGTCAAAATGGAACCCGACGCCCGCGTCTCCCTCCCTGCATGCGTGGGTGGGCGGATTGCGATCGGGATACATGGCGAGCGCGTGCCCGCGTTTTCTGCTCGTCCCTTTTGGTCAATGTTGGCAAACTTGAGACGGCTGGATGGATGGATATGGCTGTACTCTTTAGATCGGGCTGTGGTTA